AATAGGATATTTGTCACAACATGTTTAGTTTATTAGATTCTGACGTAGAAAAATATTGTTCGATAGAATTCTAATCAAGAACAAGACTATCGGGTATAAACACTAATTAAATATTAAAAAATAAGCTCGATTATTTTTCCAGACTAACTAGAATATTGTTCATTGCAATTGGCAGAACAAGGTGGAAAGGGCCACCAGGGAAAAGAGAATTTCTCTCTCTTTCGAACTCTTGCACGGTGGGCTGATGATCTTAAGGAAGTTGGAGTTGAAGATTGGGAGAAGAATGCTTAAGATAGAGAGAGATAAAGCAAGTTGGAAAAGGTCAATACTCTATGAGGTCCTTGAATTTAAAAAAAAAAAATTATTTCATGGATGAATGTAATTTATTCCTTGAAACATCCATCCATTATCTGTAATTAATTAATTAGAATTTATGCCTTAATTTTCAGGAGTTTAAAAAATGCACTACACTATTAGTTGGAACTTAGTAGCTACATGTAAGCCAGTACCAATTACGAACATTAAAACCGACATCAAAATTACAACATAAATTGCCTTTGATCTCATGTACAAAGTTACTTGTAAAAACTGGAATGCTGAAATTTCACAACTTTGAGTGGATTTACGAATATAATTTCGAAAAAATATTTTTCCTTTTACAGTTACCAGTACAGGAATGTGAAAACTGCAATAACCTTATAAAAATAGAATAGAAAAACAGGAAGCGATAATATTCGCTGCTTTAAATATCTAGACTAGTTATTGTTAAGTGTCTCTTAACTTACTTATGAAATAATGTATCAGTGTAAAATTATTTATTTATAATAATATATAACTGTCACTTGTTTATGTACGAAGTTTTTGTGAGGAAAATAAATAAAGATTATTATTGTTATGTATATTTAAAATAATTCTAAAATAAATTTCAATCAAGTCAAGACGAGTTCAAGAGCCAATCCTTTAGTTAAAGGTTTATAGGGCACTTATCCACCACCCTGGTTTAATAATAATAACAATTATTAATTCCAATTACATAACACAAATCCATTTTAGAGAGTTATTTACTCTCTACTGACAGCTAATTTTAGTACCAACATCAACGACAACACAAATTAAAATTGGAAACAAATAAATAAACAGTCTACGCTACGCAGTACACTTGTCTTTCAGAGCCGACAAGCGTACACACAAATTGTAACGAGGATACTGTTCCTACAGCCTCGCAATCTACGTAAATGTGATGTCGTTATCAAATGCGTCAAACGTCGTCGACTTCAGTTACAAGAGTAGGCCTTTTTTTACACTGACACTGCTCAAACAGTTAAAAAGATAAGTACTGTTATATACTTCTAAAACATTCATTCAACATTTACAACAACGAATTACAAAATATCGAAAACATTTTACATAGTATTGTCTTTGATTAACATAACTTTTATTCATTTAATAAAACACTATTTTGACCGGATTTAAGTTATGTATTATTATAAATTTACAACTATTTAACATAATTTTAAATTTATCCGACGTTTCGCGTGCTTTACAGCGTGCGTGGTCACGGTGACTGAAGACAAAAGATGTTGAATGTCAAAAAGTATCACAGCTGCAGAGAAAGTTGCATTATCTGTATTTATTTCCCCGGAGTTGGTATCGACTAAAAGATGGAGGGTTTTGGCAAAAATGGCTTACGGTGTCCTCTATTTTCGCGGATTGTTCTTTTTGAGATTTTAATTTGGATATTATTGGATCCCAGGTGTTTGACAATTTTAGGCCGTCTTCTCTATTGAAATTGGGGAGTTTTTTGATTTCAATGGCTTCGCGTACCAATCTTGGGAAGAATCTTTTCTCTTTCGCAAGTACTTTCGGTTGGTCAAAGCGTATGTAGTGATTAGGCCTATCTAGTATGTGTTCACAGACTGCTGATTTTGTGTGTCGTCTATGTCTTATGTCTGCAATGTGTTCTTTGAGTCTGCTGGACATATTGCGTTTAGTTTGCCCTATGTAAGACAGGCCACAGTCGCAATCCAGTTTGTATATACCTGCATCTTGCAATGGGGTGTTACTTTTGATTGGTCTTAGGAATTGCTGAATCTTCTTGTGCGGCTTGAAAATTGTATGAATAGAAGCTCGTTTTAGGATCCGGCTAATTCTATCTGTAACTCCCTTTACATATGGCAAGTAGGCTGGCTGGCGGGGAACTGTTTGTGTCTTGTTTTTGTTTTTGTGATGCAGCCGGGGGATGCGCAGCTTGTTTCGGTGTAGCACCTGTTTGACATGCTGTAGTTCCTTCTCGAGGTGGGCATCATCACAAAGACGTTGGGCTCTCTGAAACAAACATTTACCGACAGAAAGCAGTTGTGAAGGGTGGTGGTGGGATTCACCATTGCGGTACCTATCTGTGTGGGTTGCCTTCCTGTGTATTGTGTGACCTAGTGTGCCATCTGCTTTGCGTATAATTAAAATGTCTAAAAAGGGCAGACGGTTGTTGTTTTCTTGTTCAACAGTATACACCAGATTATGTAGATATTGTAAAACACTGTCTCACATCAGGATACTTAATGTGGAAAGATGAGTTCTATGTGCAGGTTGATGGAGTAGCCATGGGTTCTCCAGTGTCACCTATAGTCGCTGATATCTTCATGGAGGACTTTGAGGAGAGAGCTCTGGCCAATGCCCCGGTTAAACCTCGACTGTACAAGAGATATGTCGATGACACATTTGTAGTACTCCCCAATGACAAAATATCTGCATTTCTAGCACATTTAAATTCAATACACAAGAACATTAAATTTACTGTTGAACAAGAAAACAACAACCGTCTGCCCTTTTTAGACATTTTAATTATACGCAAAGCAGATGGCACACTAGGTCACACAATACACAGGAAGGCAACCCACACAGATAGGTACCTCAATGGTGAATCCCACCACCACTCTTCACAACTGCTTTCTGTCGGTAAATGTTTGTTTCAGAGAGCCCAACGTCTTTGTGATGATGCCCACCTCGAGAAGGAACTACAGCATGTCAAACAGGTGCTACACCGAAACAAGCTGCGCATCCCCGGCTGCATCACAAAAACAAAAACAAGACACAAACAGTTCCCCGCCAGCCAGCCTACTTGCCATATGTAAAGGGAGTTACAGATAGAATTAGCCGGATCCTAAAACGAGCTTCTATTCATACAATTTTCAAGCCGCACAAGAAGATTCAGCAATTCCTAAGACCAATCAAAAGTAACACCCCATTGCAAGATGCAGGTATATACAAACTGGATTGCGACTGTGGCCTGTCTTACATAGGGCAAACTAAACGCAATATGTCCAGCAGACTCAAAGAACACATTGCAGACATAAGACATAGACGACACACAAAATCAGCAGTCTGTGAACACATACTAGATAGGCCTAATCACTACATACGCTTTGACCAACCGAAAGTACTTGCGAAAGAGAAAAGATTCTTCCCAAGATTGGTACGCGAAGCCATTGAAATCAAAAAACACCCCAATTTCAATAGAGAAGACGGCCTAAAATTGTCAAACACCTGGGATCCAATAATATCCAAATTAAAATCTCAAAAAGAACAATCCGCGAAAATAGAGGACACCGTAAGCCATTTTTGCCAAAACCCTCCATCTTTTAGTCGATACCAACTCCGGGGAAATAAATACAGATAATGCAACTTTCTCTGCAGCTGTGATACTTTTTGACATTCAACATCTTTTGTCTTCAGTCACCGTGACCACGCACGCTGTAAAGCACGCGAAACGTCGGATAAATTTAAAATTATGTTAAATAGTTGTAAATTTATAATAATACATAACTTCAATCCGGTCAAAATAGTGTTTTATTAACATTTTACATAATATGTTCGTTACAAATAAACGAGCCAATTAGAACTTGTCACGTTCATGCGAAGAAGTTTGATTGGCCCACTCGATGTAATCTACCAACTAGACTTTTCTAGAATTTAATTCTTATCCAAATCGTTATGAATGAAAACATTTAGTTACCGAATATAATGAATCATAATATAGCTAAAAACAAACATGAAATCATAGTTTATACAATACGTAACACCTCAAACTCCAACCCTGGGTTATATTTGAGAGAAAAGGTCATGACTTATGACATTTACGTATGATTTTCGTGTGTTAATTACTGTGTGTATAATAAATGATGTCCTTATATAAAGGCTGTTTCTAGTTAAGTTGATAGACTCTTTGTAATACTATTCTTTTAGGGTTATTGGGTTACACTCTCTGCAAAATATAGCTATCTTCACGGTACGGACGGAAGACTCTTATACCTGAGGTCGTAGGTTCGATTCCCGGCTGTGCACCAATGGACTCTATTTCTATGTGCGCATTTAACATTTGCTCGAACGGTGAAGGAAAACATCGTGAGGAAACCGACATGTCTTAGACCCAAAAAGTCGGCGTGTCTCAGGCACTGGTAGCTGATCACCTACTTGCCTATTAGATTTAAAAATGATCATGAAACAGATTCAGAAATCTGAGGCCAAGACCTAAAGAGGTTGTAGCGCCACTGATTTTTATTTTTATGTATCTTCACGGTTCTTGTTTTTTTTTAGGTAAAAATACCTATCGACTCCCGTAATATAGACACATTTATTTGAGAATCCGCTCTTATTTATATTTTTTCTATATAGACAAGTAAGTCTGACACCCCATATTGTGAGTGAGATAGGCCATTTTCCTCACGGTGTTTTTCATCGGTAAGTGATTAATAAGTGGGCTGGTAGATAAATCCATTGGTTCACAGACGGCTTCCAAATGAACGGCATCTGTTTTGAGAGTACCATGTTTAAGCACTAGGCGAACACAACGTAAACTAAATGTGTAAATCTGTAATCAATATTCTTCGAAATGTATAGAAAAGTAGAAAGGTGTTAGGAAATGTAAGAGCTACTTCTAATATACGAATATTAGAAGCTTAAAACGTTTAGTAATACAGAAACGAACTAAATTGCATACTCACCTAATCTTAAAGTTTTAGTAAAGAACACTTGGTAAATGGTGGCACTCGTTGTCGTCCTATAACGTAACCTGAAACCAATAAAATATATTTTATAACAAAAGATACTATACACAGGTAACATTACAAAAATATAGTAGGATGTATTAACAGTAAAAGCTTTTTAACTTTTCATAAACAGTTAGTAACATTCCCGGGTAATTCATTTTAATTGATTGGGACAGTAACAAACACTTCTTCTGATTTTAAGGCTTGTATAGACAAAACGTATTCCCGAAAATATATCATTCAAAAGGCAATACTTCGTGCATGGGATTTATCTTAGAGTTTGTTAGGTTTATTTCGTTTACATAAATTAAAATAAATACTGCTGTAATCTATCTCCGTGACTCTGTTGACCACTGCATAATTTATTCTATTCCGACGAAGTAATTATTTGCTTTGATAGCCCACTTCCCTATAAAGATATGTGTTTTATCCCCTTATTGGATTTAGGACTAGTACATCTTCTACACTATTAGAGGTCCTCTGTAATGTTAGACTTTCAATAGATAGCCCTTATATAGGTTGAGAAATACATAGTTACGGTGTGAAGCTAGATCGTTAAATAAATACGGGATAACTGAGCTCAAAGTACCGAATATTGGCGTCGTAAATCTAGAGCTCGAAACTTAACTTATCCTGGTTCGAGTTCAGTCGGATAGTTCACAACTTCCTTTCTTATTAACTTCAACAATTTATGCGATGAAATATCTTGATTTAATGGTAATAAAAATATATAATACAGTTCAGTAGGATCAAACACACGCAAACACAAATGATTTTGATTTTGTGACAAATAAAATGAAATAGAATTATTTAAATATTTCGTTGCTTAAATCTAAACAATATGCAAATTTAAATATTATGGTAAACTGTACACCTTATAGCCAACAAGCAATTTCTTCCAGAAAACTTTAGTAACCGTACAAATAATTGATACTGAAGCAAAAGTCCAAAAAATACGAAACTGCAACAAAATTAGTTTCATAAGGGTACGTTACGTTTTCGTTTACTATGTTCTTCATAATATTTTAAAATAATACTTTTTTGTAACACATCCATAAATCACCCAATGACGCAAAAGAAATTTCATTTCCGTTTCCTCTGTCTATTTTCTCTATAAAAACTGTATATATAGAAGCAACACAACCAAATAAATCTATGATTAATGATGCGATTTATTCGCACACTGATCACGTTATTTTTTGTTATTACACCTATGCAAATGAGTCTCTAAAGAGGCGTGATAAGGTTTCTTTTCGTTTGACAAGTAAATTATGCGTTAAGTAATTTGTCACAGCTATCTTACAGTGAGAAGAAGTCTTCCTGTTATCTAAGGAAGTTAAATGTAAGGGGACGTTTTGAAAAATGTTTGCTGGCGATAAAGCGAATGATGTTGTAAAGAATTATTAATTGTCTTTGGTCGTTGCAACTAAAATTTATACGTAAATGTAAAAAATAATTGTATTTCATAAAACGGGAAACCCTTGCTCCGACTAACAAAATTAAAAGAAAAATCATTTATTTCATTAAATACTAAATTATAATTTTACATTTACTGCCAGTTTTCAAATCAAGGGCGAAGAACGGACGAGAAGAACTAGCAATAAACTCTCCGCCTCTCTTTTTAATCGCCAAGTTTTTTGTTTTACCACTATTACTCCAACAGCTGCAACCATTACACCGTGTCCTACATGACATCTTAAGTAATAAATAGTAAATTAATATAAAAAGAAAATTAAAAACAAAGATTTGTCTTCTATCAGCAGTAGGCATGGTTAAATAGGAGCACGCACTTACATTCTCGTGGGAACAACACGCAAATACATAGTCGAAATAACTAACATACACGAATTCAAGTTCGACCAGTCACCAATATGCATGGCCATATCAAGACTTTATTAAAATAAATACACGCTACGATAAAAAAAATTACCAATGTCAATGTCATAACGGACCTAGTGAGAGTATAAGTGCGGAAACTGAGTCCACCAACCTTTAACCATTGCCAATGGTAACCTTCGCCTGCATCTTTCAATACCATGAACAATACGATCACAGCACGTATGTCACGGAATATGTCTACATTTTCCATTTTGATCTTATTCTCTAACGTAAATTAATTCTGCAGAATATTTATTTTCAATACTTATACTAACACTACGGGAAGCTCACTTCATATTTTAGTTTTAATTTATAGATATTTTGACTCTTTGTAACGTGATGTAATTGAAAAGTTCATACACAAATATATGTGCGTATTATAAATTTTTTGTTTAATATGTGCAAGAGTCCTAGAAAGTATTAAATGTTCAGTAAAATAATATAATAAATTCCTCTTTAAATCCGTTAACATTTTTATTTGGCATATAGGTAATAATAAATAAATCAGTGGCGCTACAACCTCTTTAGGTCTTGGCCTCAGATTTTGTGAATCTGTTTCATGATCATTTTTTAAATCTAAAAGGCGAGTAGGTGATCAGCCTCCAGTGCCTGACACACTCGACTTTATGGGTCTCAGACATGTCGGTTTCCTCACGATGTTTTCCTTCACCGTTCGAGCAAATGTTAAAAGCGCGAATAGAAAGAAAGTCCATTGGTGCACAGCCAGGGATTGAACCTACGACCGTGGGTTTGAGAGTCGCGCCCTGAAGCCAACTAGGCCAACACTACTCTAATATCATTGTGATACCTTTTTATATACGCCTCATGTATAGATTGAGTAGGACTTCTCATCCCCGTCTTTACTGCGTAAGGTAAGTTTGATAAATGGGCCAGTTCGTACGATTGCGACCTCATCCATCAGGACTATAATCACCAAAATACCGTGTTTCCCTAAATCCGTTCAAGTGTTGAAGAAAACCATCCATCAAGCTGATTAGACAGATCGAGGCCGAAGGCTTAATGAATTAAAGTTATTCATTAGATTGCCTATTAAGGGTCTTATCGTAAGGGCCCTTATGTAAATAATATATACTAGGCTTGGCTTTGTTATGGTCGGTAGAGTGATTCACGCATATATACTTAATAGCAGTGTAATTATTGTGTACAGATCAGATTTGCTGCCTTCAAATGTTGTATACATTCATTTCAAGTTTGCCATATGATTGTAGCTTTTTATAGTACGTCCTAAAACTTAAAGCAAGAGTTCTACGTCGATTTCCGCGCAATTTGTCTTTCAAAATCTTCGCATTATGCTAAGGACGTAACCCTTTCAAGAAAGGATTTGTGGCTAATTAACTTTTATAAGCTTCCTATACATTCAACAAAAGTGTATACTTTCAACACTTAACCAGTTTCCGAGAATCGATAGTAGGTGTTGGGTGAAGATATAATAGATATGTGCACCCAACGCCCGTACCCTATACATACAGTGTCAGTCGAATAGAAAATGGTCAATATTGCAGAATTTTAGACATAGAATTTGATCTGAGGATTGTTTTCCGGCATTTACAGTTCCTAGGGTTTATTAGGGAACTTAATAATAGTTTATTTCCAGTTCTTCTCTTCCGTTCTACGCCCTTGATTTGAGAACTGGCAGTAAATGTAAAATTAGACGCGTTTAATGTATATTTCTCTTTTTGACGTTAAATAAATAAATGCTTTTTGACTTTTGACTTTAATGATTGACGATATGTTTATCGTATTTTATATAGCTTCCTTTATATAATAAATAGTACTATAAAAAGGCTTTCCGCCAATTGGAACTAGTTTATAGCAATAAATAAAAGTAAGTTATCACAAAGTTGGAATTTTATTGGCATCGCGTACATTTGGCTCGTTTGCACAGTTTCTTTATTTGGCAGGTAGATTGCAAGAGAGCTTGCCAAATAGGACGAGAAACTGTGGCAAGGAAAGATCAATGTGCGGAAAAGCTTAAGGATCATATAGGGTATATATGATATCGACATCGAGGAAAAGGTTTTCTAACTTTATTCACTACCTGAATTGCGCTAACAAAGTTATTCCAACCGATCGTATACCTACATATATAACGTCTCGACTGTAGGCACTGGTTCTTACGGGCCAATCCGACTGGTCCGGGATCTTTAGTTTCGGGAAACAGTAGCACCTTCCTCCAATTATTGTTGTAAAATGTGAACGTGTAGAACGTTTAATTAGGAGTAATCACTGATAATTATTATTTATATTGTAACTGATATTTGTTTATTCAGTTACTTCTTGCTTTTATGTAGTGAACTTTTATATAGCTGACCCGGCAAACGTTGTTTTGCCATGTATATTATTCCTAGGAAACATTTTTTAGGTCAATAAAAATAACTATCTACTATGATTAAAAATAGGGGTTGATTATAGCGTTGTGAAAATTAGGGGTTGTATATATTTTTGTATGCTGTATCATAAAAATCAAAAAAAATTGTCTAAACAATAAAAATGTTTCACTTAGGGGTTTGAAAGATAGATAGTAGCCGTTTTTCAGATTTACTGAATATGCATAAAAAGTTTCATAAGAATCGGTCAATTCGGAGGAGTATGGGAACGAACATTGTGACACGAGAATTCTATATATTAGAAGATATTACAATTTGTAATGTATGTTTTATGTAAATCATTGTTGTGGTTATTTGTGTATTGCCAATTGTTTGTGTTTCATATGAAATAAATAAAAGAAGCCACACGATTCTAGCTAGTTACTACCAAGTCTAATTAACTTATGTAAAAGTCTATTAATGTTTCCTTTACGCAGCGTCTCTGACACATGTTTCGTGTGTCAGAAGGATCCTTTGAGCTGGGCCCACACGGATAATGAAGTTAAAAACCAAAGTCATGTCAAATATAATTGAAGAATATTGTTTTACAAAGATTAATATAAACCGTTCATGAGTTTAAATAAATCCTCCTTTCAGCGATTTGTTATACGAAATTGCGTTTTCATAATTGACAACGAAAAACGATTAAATTAATATTTATTCATTGAATATGCGTGCCATTATTTTTGATGCCTGTACGTCCTCCTTTGAAGATGAACAACGTAGATTCTAGCTTATTTGTAAGAGAGTTATGGATAGTTCGAATCCCAGCTGCATATTAATTTCTACACATTATTATAGTTGGTTATAAGATTCTGGGATACGATTATCGAAAAACATAAAAACTTAAAACTACACAACGCTAAACTGAAGAAAAAAACACTTTCAAAGAGAAAATTGACGAGTCCTTTGTAATAAGTATTTATAATAAATTTATTTTTTCCAAATTTAACCGGTTCAATGGGTATGGCAACACTATTTTTGTTATTTAAGAACTAAAGGGAGGTTAGATGCATTTTCTATTATAAAGATGACTTTCTTTAAGGTTGGTTTAAAAAATTACAATAAAAATAACGAAACACGTAAGGCAACTTATAAGCAAAAAGCTTTGTGATTGCTTGCCGTCCACTCTTTTGTTCTCGGTGCTACCCCATTTATTGTAAGAACTATATTTAGTTGTTCAATTTAGTCATGTCAAAATGCCAATCTCATCTAAAGATTGCATGTAGCAGGTAGCTTACCTCATTGTTAAATATATTTTGTTATTGTTAAAACCTTTCGAAACATTATAACTTTAGTTTTATCTACTAAGTTTTAAAAAAAGTTAAATGGCTGTAAAAACGTGTCTAGTTATAAGTTTGTTACATAATGTACACTGGATATGTAGCACTATAAATTTTTGTGAAACAAAATAAAGAATTTAAAAAAAAAACAGCTAACTTTATAATGACTGCAGCTGTTTGAATCACGTTTATTCTATTATAGCCCTGGTTTCTGGCGTTTACATACTGCCTAAGCTGTAATATGTAAACATGAAGCCAGAACGTTTCCTTTGTTTTGCTTCCCAGCTTTGGTATTCCATGCTTTTATCCAAATAATGTGAAAAATAATCCATATAATAATGTATGTGTGTTTCACAATTTTGTTTGTCAAATAAACTGAGTTTTTTTTATAGAATAGTGGGCAAACGGGCAGGAGGCTCACCTGATGTTAAGTGATACCGCCGCCCATGGACACTCTCAATGCCAGAGGGCTCGCGAGTGCATTGCCGGCCTTTTAAGAATTGGTACGCTCTTTTCTTGAAGGACCCTTAGTCGAATTGGTTCGCAAATACTTCAGTGGGCAGCTGGTTCCACATAGTGGTGGTGCGCGGCAAAAACTGCCTTGATAACAGTTAAAAACAAGTAAGAATGATAATTAATAATCTACTTCGATAAAACAATATACATTAATTAAGCTTAGATATAGATTTCATCGTTTTACTTAAATTCAAGTTAAGAGGGATGTGAAAACTAATTCATCTTGTGATAATAAACGATACTTTGATTTAATTTAATGGAAAAGTTATCTCGTTAAACTAAGTGTTTTGTTATCAACAATCAAATGTTATTGGTGTCTGAAAATGTAACACTGGACACGCAGTTCCAGCTTTCAAAAATCTACGACAACCCAACGACTCTCGACTCGAGTTTTATTATCAATAAAGTAAAGTAAAGTATATAATTTAAACAAAGCGTATTTGTAAACATTATAAAGGAACACCTTTTACGCCCTTGAATACATTCTTAAATATTCATCAGTACCAATACATCCCTGGTACACATTGGGAGTGACATGCCCATTATTTTATTGTTTATTCTTCTGTCATTTTTTATTTTACCTCCTTCTTCTCAACTATTAAATTATTTATTTCTTTGTTAACAACGTCGGATTCAATGAATCAGTATGTTTCAACTAATGTACTCTTTTGTCTCTTTTCTTCACATTATGTTTAAATTGTGATGAAATGAGACAGATCTATTCTTTAATTAAAACGGTGTAATTGCACTGATTTAGGTTCGAATAAATGGGATCCCTTATGCGAAATCAGTTCAAGTATCAGTTGACTATCCAGTCAAACGCCTTCTTAAATATATTATAATGACGATTTATTGATTATTTAGACAAATACTTTATGTTAATAACGTATGGTCAAAAAATCAATAGTTATCCAAAACGAAAATAATCAATACTTCATACCAGTTCTATTGAAAGCGCGTTCAACCAAATACTCCTACTTTTAGATTTTAAAATTAAACAGAAGTCGGGTAATCCATACGAATTGAAAAGACAGCTTCTGTTTTTCCAATCGAAACAGTCTTTAAAAAAAGGTTATTTTATATAGAAAATGTCCATAGGTGGTTTCACATAACATAAGTTGACCCTCCCCGTTTGACCCTTGCCCAAAGTTCACAAGTGTGTAGTAATAGTTTAGAATTAAAAACATAAAATATTATAACTTACCTAAAAACAACACTAGTTTCCTCTTTATCTAAATGAACAGCATCGATGGACCACTTCAACGCAACACCGCTTCGACCTTCCAGAGGTCCACTGACCACCAGCGCTGGCAGAAATCTATGAAACCGTTTACGTATCGATCGAACTCTCCGCGGTTTAAAGTAAACACTGTTCGTCCTAAATTCACTAGACCACATGTGCGCACGAGTGTTTCTTTTAGGTATGAAGTAGGGGGGAGCGAGACAGGCCTTCTCGGAGAAGCTTGTTGGCGTGAAGTTCCCTTTGATGCTGGAGCCAACGATTGAGTGAAGCGCGTAGTCCCAGAGGGATGGCGCGTTGAACTGCAGGTGCACTGAAAAGAAAGGATAAATTAATACACCTATATTTACGATACAACTGGAGCTCCGAAATAAGCCATAGGTGAAAATCGCGTATAAAAAAACTAGTGGCGCTACAACCTCGTTAGGTCGGGGCCTCAGGTTTTTATATCTGTTTTATTATCAATTGTCAATCTAATAGGCAAGTAGGTGATCAACCTCCTGTACCTGACACACGCCATCAACTTTTTGGGTCTAAGGCATGTCGGTTTCCTCACGATGTTTTCCTTCACCGTATGGGCAAATGTTGTTGGTGCGCATACGGGGATCGAACCTACGACCTCAGGGATGAGAGTCGGACGCTGAAGACTAACACACGGCAGTGGAGAATAAAAAGAAAATTTAAATATCTTTATTGAGCTATATTACTCTTTTCTTATCGTCCTCATTATTATTTTTATTTATTTTCTTAAACATACAGACGTGCCTCTATTACTATTTTATACTTTTATGGTTGTCTGGAAGAAACTGTTCTTAACAGTAAGATCGCCCATTTATACCTACTTTTATAACTACACGATGGAAATAAAGTGTTTATCAATAATTAAAAAATAAATATCTAATTAATCACGCAAAAAGACGCGATGTACTGGGTAAGCACTTTAATACCGATTATAATAAAGGACTTTTTGCGTTGTAGAAAAATCAACACAAACATGTATTGAAGCTTAAAAGATAAGCGTTCGCTAACCTTTAAGATGAAATTCCGAAGAAAGTTCCGATATAGATAAATACGGTTAGAACGTTTTATACGAGTTTTCTACTAAAACAGCATCGCTGCTTTCAATTCTATCATATCATTTTACATATATAAAAATTTACGGCAGCTATTCAGCACGCTGTGCTTCGTCGTCCTTGATATATTCTGTAATGCAGATATTATTTGTCTGTTTCGCTAATCAATGTTCAGGTACATATGTGATCAACTTTTATGTGTCTACTAACGGAAATGCTTTTTTATTTCAGTTTTCGAGTCCATATTCCATATCCATATTTGACGACTCATTGGTCTAGTGGTTAGTACCCCTGACTGCGAATCCATGGGTCCCGGGTTCGATCCCCGGCTGAGACGAACATTGATGTAATGAGCATTTGGTGTTGTGCTTAGGTCTTGGGTGTTTAAATATGTATTTATATCTATCTATCTATAATAATATGTATGTATATCCGTTGCCTAGTACCCATAACACAAGCTTCACCAGCTTAGCATGGGACTAGGTCAATTGGTGTGAATTGTCTTTAAAAAAAAAAAAACCGCCAGCCTTAAAGGTGGTAATTCCATGTCAAATATTATTGTATGTTTTTCCAAATGCTACTTGGATTTTATCAATATCTCCGACATCCCGATAGCGCTGTGAACATTTCGCTGATGGCAACCCATATCCTGTCGGAAATTGGTTCGGCCGGACAGTTTTAGGGCACACCCATGTTATGATCTATAATCTGTGACAAATTTAGGTAAATTTATAGATATATCTTTGAATATCGGTTTGACATGATGTATAGAGTATAATACGTTTTCGATTTTGTAATAATGTAGTTACTCCACTGTATTAAGCTGAGTTATTCCTGCTATAAAAAGTAAAAAAATCATTTAATCATATAGGTAACATAATGTAGGTACACTTATGACTCGTCAGTAAAGATATTAATGCTTCTAATTTTACATTTACTGCCAGTTCTCTAATCAAGGGCGTAGAACGGAAGAGAAGAACTGGCAATGGCAAAAAACTCTCCGCCACTCTTTTTAATCGCTAATATATATGTATATATTTTTTTTACACAACATTTATAAGGAGCTGCAACCATTACATATATACATTATATAGAAGTTAAATCAGGAATTGGTGTAAAAGTAATGTATATATCTTATATTAGTTTAATATTCATATTTATAAGACAGTTTTATGAATTTTAGTGAAGATTGGAGCCACAGTTTTGTAATACGACTTTTATCTGATATGCGTGACTAAATAATAAATTAAAACATTTAATACAAATTGCCTTTAATGAAATATTTGTCTTTAATACTTTTTAGAGCATTTTGGAGTCAGTTCTATTTTTTTATTAATTCAATACCAGATTGCCTGGGTTATATTCTTTAACAAATTATATTTCTATGCAAATAATACAAAATAAAAATTATTTATTTTATAAAAGATTCCAAAACGTAATCCTTCTATAACAAGCTTCGACGCTTGCTAGTTTTATGCGGGGATTTAAAAGTTGACATCGAAAGCGCTCAACTAAAATTAAACTACACTTTAATTCGAAGATTATGAAAATATTTTTAAAGTACAAAGATATTTAAGAGTGCTAAATAAATTATAACTCTGCAGGGGTTGAGCTTAGAGACCTCCCGTAGTAAAATTTTTTGCAGCTGATGACCTCATCTATCCCCCATTCCACGACTTTTTGGCCACCCTGTATATCGCTCAAATAGCTTTTAATAACAATGAAAATGTCATTTTCGTCGATCCTTTACAAAACTTAACATGAACATTGAACACTAATAATTATGAAAAACAAAGCGAAAACATAAATGTTTGTTTTGCTTAATAAGTATATTTCATTGTTATCCTCCGTCAATTAAAGATACGATGTTTTTCTTATATCGTAATTATTTTTCCTTGTCCGTAATTAGTTGGCCAAAATGAAGATAATATTGGCATTGTTTATACTTTTTTTCATCTTATGAAAACAAAAGATTTACCTTTTTTTAGTGATAAAGTATTTTTCAAGTTTCTATTTCAATTTCAAGAATATAATATCGGATTTACTTAATGCGAAACGTAATAATATAATACGTAGATTACTTAATATCACGTCTTCATGTATTTACGTAATTCGTATTGTGGGGATCTAAATAGAAGCTTGAACATAAATCACTCATAAGAAAAAACAGTGGCGCTACATGTAAGCTTTAAAGGCCAGATTTCTGCATCTGTTTTAGTCGTAGACATATCATTTATTACAAACAAAAACACACACACATAGACACACAAAATAACAACAATCAAAGAAAAAATTAAATAAAAAATATAATGAGAGATATATAAAAAAAAATCCCTTTTCCCATTCGGTTCGTTTCAAGTGTGCAATGATCATATTATGATTTTTTTCTAATGTGCAAGTTGGTGATCAGCCTGTGCCGTCAATTTTTTTGGGTCTAAGGCATGCCTCCTTTCTCACGATGTTTCGCAATCTATTGGTACACAGCCCGGGTTTGCCCCTACGACCTGGGGGATGAGAGTCGTATCGTCGTATTCATATAAATAACTATACAAAAGTCTATGTCTACTATAAGAAATTCTATGCGTTTGTACTGACAAAAACAAATTATTGTAACAATAAGTACCGTTTCGTCAAGTATTTTCGTTAATACAATAATTTAATTTTAAACACATGTATTCTGCACTGCACAATAATATATGATGCATACTATTGCTTCTGTTATTAGGTCACGGAGTTGTGTAAGTTTTCGAAGATTCAACGAAAATCTAATGTTATTTTTGTATTACGATGTATCCCATTTTCCATAATTTATTTGCCGTCCTCAAGGTTCTTTAAATATTTCTAAGTGGCTTCGTTCGATTGATATGCAACGATTTTGCATATCAACGATTTTGTCTCAGTATTTGTAAGTTTACACTGACAGAGCGAGTCCGTAATATTTATAAATGAATTTTCCACTAATGAAAGCCTTAATTAAAGCAGAAATTCATGACGCTAAATGGCAGTTTATCAAGAGAGGCAATAATTTTGCTACAGAGCGGATGCGGTTCTTAAACAATTCATCAAAGCAGAGGAGAGTTTAAGAAGCCTTATTTAGTTTAATTATCGCTCCAGGCGCTTGTCAAGCCGTAACCCCTAGTGTACATACATTTATCATTTTCCTTTACGCCTCAGAATGTATGCTGCGAAAAATGGAATAACGTAAAAATAAATCGATATATAGAAAACTTGAGTGGCTCTCCGTGGGTGTTTCATTTTCGCAGACGTCATTTTGACAAATCTTTTGACACCGTACAGTATCACTTGATGTTGTTACAATTGTGGCCGTGGCTTTGGGTGTATTTAGAACTGAACATTATATGTAAATATTCAATATAAATTAAAATAGATGTCTCAGTCACAATGTTCGTTCCCATACTCCTCCGCAAGGGCTCGACCGATTCTTGTGAATTTTTTTATGCATATTCAGTAAGTCTGATTTTGAGTTTAAGATAATTGTGTTAATTACAAATTATTTGTATATACTTAGAGTGACGCAGACGACAAAATCGATTTTTAGCTATTTGAAAATTGACCATCGATGACAATAGATAACCACAGACTATGAACATATATTTATATGGGAATAAAATTAACAGAGACGAACTTAAAAGAAATAATGTTAACAATTGGTTAAGAGGCATTTTTCTGGAATTTGCTGTAAATATTATACAAAAAGTTGTTAAAAGAAATAGGTAGTAGTGCTTAATCACCCGCGTTACCAATACCATCTACTTAAGTTGTACATATACGTAAGTTATTTTATACCTCCAACGACAACATAGTCGGGGAGTTAGGTAGAAAATGTATATATAAAAAAAATACACATTGCCCGAATACTTACAAAACCTGCTTGAGTTTTGCCGTAATAGGTAAGTATACTTCCATTGTACATTGTGCGTGTTGAACCAGCTATAAAAAATAATTAAAAGCTGTTATTACTTTTATAGTCCATTAATTAATATGCCGCAATAATGCACAACATGGATTTCATACACATTATTATATGTAAGTGTGAATTTAGTAGTTAAAAGAATTTCAAATGGGCCTATTATATCCCACTTTGTTTGAAAGACGCTTAAATTATAAATTAACTAATTAGTATTTGTTTGTTTGTTATACTAATTAGAATATACACGTTTCATGTAATTTATAGCCTATGTAGTCATATTTAAGAAATAAGGAGACATCAGTATTGGCCTAATGGCTTCAGCATGCCGTTGTCGTCCCTGAGGTCGTAGGTTCGATCCCCGGCTGTGCACCAATGATCTTTTAAAATTTGAAATATTGAAACTTTAAATATTTTATTTTTCTCACATTTTTTAAACCCATCCATTATTCCAGTATTATTCATCCTACCGACTCACACCATACATATATTCGACGAAAAGGCAGACGATTTAATGGACAAGTACCTAGTGGATGTTTACACTATCAGATCCAGATTCAACTCTCCGTTACAAAACCCAGCTCCAAATTTCATATCTGAAACCACATTATCGCCACGCAAGCGCCCATATCGCGCAACCAAACATCCCATGAAAAATGCTCACTTCAATTTAACTAAATCGCAGTTCTTAGAAAACCGGCAAAACGAAAAAGTAGCAGCCATACTAAAAGCAGAAAATAATCCGCCGCCAAACTTTGAAATTGACGAATTAAATGTGCAATCGAGGAGATTCGATAGCATTCGTAAAGATAGCCTCAAGCGCAAGGATGAATACTTAAGAGAAATATATTTCCTAAAATATGATTATGGCGTTAAAGCTAAATCTCGTAAAAACAGGACTATTCGGTTGATGGAACAGTTCATATATGAGACTCAGTATAAGTTGACGTATGTACAAGTTCTGCGGAAGAAGTACATTTTGCAGCCGAGGTATAGAATTGGCTACTGTTTTTCGTTATTGGCGAATTTGCGAAATCAGCAGTTTGTTCTGTTCGATGCGTTACGGCGAAATAAGGAAATTTGGACAACGTTGTACATTCATCTTAAGCTATATGAGAAGATCGTGAGGCTGGACGTAGATATACGAGACTTAATAGCATATATAAAGAAGATAAATTGGGACAGGATGCCGAAAGAGGAACCAGTCTACTTCGATAGCGTTAAGCATATGCAACAATGATTACAATTAAAAAGATTTTTGTCAACCATCAAATACATAACTTGTAAAAAACCAAGTCTTGCAACGCAGTTCTTCTACCGTAAGAAGTTATTAAATTCATTTTAACCAGGTTTTTCATCAGGCTTCTTATTTTGTCCACAACAAAGTTATAGGGGGTCGAAAAAGGCTTCGAGAAAAGGACAGTACGGCCGTGCTGCTGTCTTGCTCGATTTGGCGGGGCACTGCCATGCTCCCAGATGGAATTATAGTATTTCTATTCTAGAAAGTAATAGGCCGAACGTGTTTTCTACTGTCTGGGCCGTAGATTTCTGTTTTTTTTTATGTAATAAAAGGGAAACGGGCAGGGCTCACCTGATGTTAAGTGATACCGCCGGACACCGCCCATGGACACTGCTAGAAGGCAAGTCGCAAGTGCGTTTCCAGCTTTTCAAGAATTGGTACTCTTTTTTCTTGAAGGACCCTGAGTAGAATTGGTTCGGAAATACTACAGCGGGCAGCTGGTTCCACATAGTTGTGGTGCGCGGCAAAAACTGCCTTAGAAAACGCTCAGTTGTGCAACGACGGACGTCGAGGTGATACGGATGGTATTCTGTATCTGTTTCATGATTATTTATCAATCTACTAGGCAAGTAGGTGATCAGCCTCCTGTGTCTGGCACATGCTGTCGACTAAGGTATAGAATAAGGCAACCCTGTATTCTAACGATGTTTTCTTTCACCGTTACACGAATGTTAAATACGCACATAGACAGAAAATCCATTGGTGCACAGCCGGGGATCAAACGTACGACCTCAGGGATGAGAGTCGCACACTGAAGCCACTAGGCCAACACTGATAAATTTAACCTTAATTCACCTTAATAAGCGAGAACTTGAGTTAGTTAAATTGCATTTTTGCGAATCGTTTTTGAAAAGTTTTCCCGTTCACATTCACAATGTATCACGCAAAAACTATTGAAAAGCGTAACTATCTATTTTGTAATGGACCAGAAAACTTGTCAGTGCGGCCGGAAAAAACACGGACAATAGCTCAGCAACAAATGTTTTTTCATCCGCGTTCATTTATTCAACGTTGGCAACCCTCCAAATAGTCTGGCAACACCGACTGCAGTTCGAATTTTAAATACCCGCTATCTTTGTAACGATGTTTTGAATTTTAAGTGTTGCAAGTGTACTAATTAGCACTTAAGGAACTCGTAAAAATTATATGAGGCAATTGCAATGTTGGCGGAATTAGCATTTTTGGCATTCTCTTAAGGAGAAGCATATTTTATCCTGAATCTTTGTAACTATATTCCAGTATTGTCGCTGTTGCTGTGTATAAATTATACCATAGATAGCTTTGTTGTTTTTTTGTTCTTGTGTTCTCTTTTTAAATGTTTAATTTATATAATAATAACTAAATTATTTATTTGCAAAGAAAGTTACATTAAGATAGATTAATTACAAAAATCTGCACAATCAGCCATATAAAAATAGACACGTAAATGTCATAGTTATTATCATGACATATGATAGTTATGAAAAATGTTGGATGCTTTTTACATTCATAACTGCTTCAAGGATATATAAACTTGGTACTGTCAAAATACTGAGTTAGTAAAAAAATGGGCAACGCCCATAATAGCCTTAATTCATTTTCTGAGTAATAAAAACTTTATTACATCTACATACACAATTTCCCCATAAAATGATACCATAGCGCAGAACTGAGGCAACATTGCCGTGATAAGCAATAATTGCTATGTATTTTGAAGCCATTTTGCGAGTTCGACTCAAAGCAAACACAAGTTTATTAAGGCGCGTATCGATAAAATGTGTTGGTAAGATTGATTTTGTTCTAGTGTGCTAGAAACTTAGTTGATACGGCTTCCTTAATTGACTCGTTTTGGTCTGCTATTATAATTCCAAAATTGTATATAGTTAGTTTTTTTAAATTTGCACTAAAATTATTACTCTCCATCCATTCCGTGACATTTACTGTTTCATGCAATAACGATTCGTGTTTACGGTTAGTATCTTCGGACACCACAATTGAAATATCATCCGCTACAGAACGCATTTATTACTAAACAAATTCGGTAAATCATTAATGTACAGAAGAAACAGTAATAGGCCAAGTATGCTCCCTTGAAGAACGCCTTCATGGCGAATAAAGGCAATTAAACAGAGAATGTCACGAGAGAATTTAAGAAAAACAAATGAATTAAATCACTTAAACAAATTTAGTCGCGCGTCTTATTGACGCCGCACAATTTCCTCCATCCCCCCCTGTCTTAAGCAAATCTCAGCGCCTGGTTGATAGTAAGACCTGTAAGGGCTTTAACTTGATCAGCCCAGCGATCGGTAGGAGACCAATCTCAAGATCTGGTGCCTTCCACCGTGCCAGTGATAATGAGTTTTCTGGACCTCTACTGCATGTCTAGAAAAACTCAGGATCCGTTGGTAACATAGTATCGAAAGGCGAGTATTACATTTAGTATGGACACGTTTGTTTTCTTAGCTGTCCAAGAAATCCTACGCATCCGCCTACAATACCTTATTTCCAGACATGCAGGAGAATAAAAAATATGTTTAAGATGAAAAACAATGAATAATTATAGAATTTACTTTATGAACGAAAAACCTCCACAAACATTTCTTTAATAATCTGGGAAAATCTCATACTCTGTGGCGTAGGATTAATTACCAAAATATTTTATCAGAACTCTCACGAGCGTAATACTTTTCGGCACGCACCGACCCAAACTAGGGTACTAGAGCAAAAGTGGCTTGGTCTAAGTTAATTATGACATTCCTTATTAAAGACTTTATTCATACAAATTAAATCAGTTTTAACATAATATTAAAGTAAATTATGTTGTATCGTAGAAATAAATCGCAATACCGCGTAAATTTATATAAGAACTAGGCAACCCGACGAAAGTCGAGTAATTTTAAAAATTTTGAAGAAGATGAATACATTTATTAAGCCACACTATAACTTTATATTTCACCTTCATAGCTATAAATAAAAATACTTACTAACAATTTTTGAAGCAATCATCTAAAATTACATTAAAAGAATGTAACTTCGGTGATCAGTGGCGTAACAATAGGGTGGCAGGGCTGGCAACGTACGACGGGCCCCCGACCCAAGAGGGCCTCTGCCCAATAGATATTATGTTCTATGGATATTATGTTCTATGGATGAATGTGGAGTCTCCATTACGCAATGGGCTAGCGCGGGGACTACATACCATTCCCTCTCGCCTAAGAGAGGTGGCCTATGGCCATTAGTGGGACATATACAACATGTAATTGAGTACGCTGAAAATCTCGAAGTTTATTAAAATTTAACAGTACAACGTGACGATTTTTACTGATAGGGCCCCATCAAAAGAATTTGCCACGGGCCCCAGGTGGTATAGTTACGCCACTGTCGGTGATGACGCTAAATGATGTCTGCTCGACATTTGCTGCTGCTGGCAATGCTGCTTTGGAGAATTAGACGTTAAATCTAGTGACGTTACATGGAGTTTCTGCCCGCTAAAGCCTGTATCTTAACGCTTAAGTCTTGAATAGTTTTAATCCATAATAATTGATAAAGGATCGTGATACTTTACGGGCAGTTAGGGGCAATTTATGGTCTATTTGAATAAAGGTTCCGAGCCGTTTCCGGCTAATCGAGCAGGTACGAGTATAAATACGCATACTTGGCGCGTTCTCAAAAAGTTACGGGGAACGTAAATAAAAAATCGTATCAATTTCACGATCTGGCCACGACCTGCAGATCTTTATCAAGTCTGATTTAGAGGATTGGAACGTTTTTTGAGTTCAATGAAAAAAAATTCGATAAAAGGGACTTCTTTTACATCCCGTGTGGGGCACGAGACGGACTTTCTGCACCCAATTATATGTTTTAGTGCAAGCACGTGCTAAACCTTCAACCTTCGAAAAAATTACGGCAAATATTTCTTTTATAGCAATCTCAAATAAATTCTTATAACGTAATCAAATACATTAATAAACTAAAGTAAGGTAAATTAAACAAATTCATAAACTCCAAATCCATTAAAAGCTCTTAGACATACAATCAGCATTTTCTCTACAATAGTAGAAGTCACGTATTAGTTTAATGGCATCTGGATTTCCCCTCAATTTCCTTGATAGCATCCATGTACGGCAGATAATTTATCAGTTTATGGTCTGTGGTTTAAGCTTGATATTCCTGGATATGTTTATGCTATTAGCATCCATAGTGCTGGCACATTCTATGTAACTTTTGAGGATAAGCTGGTGATCAGTTCTCTGCGGTGAATCAAATCAGAGTAATTCTCTTGAAGGCTTGTAAGTATGGATGAACAAAAACATTGTGTTACTAAAAATCGGTAATGTGAGCTACAGCGTGTTGTTTTAGGTAGCTGTAAGATCCTTGGGTAGAATGCCTGGCGAAACCAGAGGGCCCATATTAAGAACATGTGAAGGGCTGAGGTGTATTTAGTGGTTGGGTCTCGCTACCCCTCTGAATAGAAGAGGGAGTGTAGACCCAGCCCCACAGTCCCCGCGTCAAGCTCGACATCCATGCGCAAGCGCATTGTCACCTCATTTTAAAAAAAACGACGGATTGCACTCCGGGAGTGCCGGCAGAAGTGAAAACTTGAATATTAACGTTGTGCATTTTTGATATTTTGGAATGGTTAGGGAATAATTTTGCACGAATTGCTTTAATTATCATTATAAAAGTACTATCATTTATGTGGTAGAATACAATATTTATTTATTGCGCTATCGTACACAAACATGACAATTTATATTAGATTAAATACGCCGCGCCAGCTGTCTACTCTCCATCCGTCTTACGAATTTTCGATCAGGTCACGTGTCCTGACGCGAGTTTAACATTTACGAGTACTTATAACATTACCCATTCCAAAAAAAGTGTACAACGCCGCTAAAGAAGTTTTCACTTGAAAAATAAAAAAAAGTAGCTGTAAGTTATTGTATTATTCAGTAGGTCTG